ATTGCATAATACAATCAAGTGCTGAAAAGCGGCAAGCTGCCTGTCTCAACGAAAGAACTTAATAAGAAGTTGTATTTTTTTTTATTTTCAGTCTAAGTGCTATTGCCATTTTCCCTCACTACACTTAAAACGCCACAGAGCTCTAGCAGACTTCTCGATAGAATCAGCCAGCATGGAAATCTTGAAGAGTTTTGTTTGAGTCGAGTGTCTGTGCATAGTAGATGTATTTATTTCTTTTAGGTTTCTCGACATTTTAGCAGTCCTCATGATAGTCAGGAAAGACAGAAGGAATGGTTCAGAACCTCAGTAAAAAGTTCACTTCTAAAATCCCGAGGCACTCACAGATCATACTGTCTTCACGAAGTAAGGAGTAATTCTGCACTCCTCGTTGTTACATTGCCTCTCGAACGTTTAAAGCTCAAGCTCCCCCTATCTCCCCCCCTTCGCATCTAATTCCAGAGGCACAAATTTTTTATGAGGTTTTTACGAAAGATTTCTGCACAATTTTCAACCAAACAAACAACGTTTTAGGTCTCCTCACCATGTTAACACTATTACATCCAAGTAAACTGCCAGCCATCCTAAGAACGCAAACTACTACGCAATATAGAAAATGTTCAAGATGAGGCGCCCCAACAAGCAGTAGGACTTAGATATCGCTTTTCTTTAGCTATTTTTCTAAACATAGGCAAACTAATACTGAGGAAACTGGCTATGACTACGGATGGCTCCCAAAAGAAAGAAAATTGTGCAGAAATCTTCTGTAGAAACCCCATAAAAAATTTTTACGTAACTTTTAATCATTTTTGAATGAACATACGTAAGGGAACTCTCAACAAAAATCAGATCAATTTGAACCTCACAGTTAATAGCCAGCAAATCAAAAGTAAATCTAAACAAAGATGATAAACGTAGCTTCACCATGCGCACAGAGATCTTTAGCTCTTTTTTAGGGTAACCATAACAGCACGAGACTGAACCTTCGCCAATGTAATACGAAGACAAGTAAGTGAAAACAGTAGTATTAAAAATAACGTGTTAGAGAGAAAACTTCTAAAAACCCAATAAGCAAACGACGAAAGATGAAATGTATCACGCCAAGGCATCGGAAGAAGCCTCAACTAAGCGAAAAACTCTTGACATATTGTAACTTCCACTTTTGACTAAATAATAGTCAAAAGAGTCATGATAATTTTATCATACAGCATAAATTTATCCCAAAAAAACAGTTCTTAAAATAACTATTCAGCTTGACTTGAAAACAAAGAAAACGGTTTTGTGGTACACCTGCAACCAGTTTTTAGAACAACATCATAAAAAGTAATCAACGCTAACACCTGCTACTGTAAAAGTTCCCAGACAAATTTAGTTTAATATGATTATAGCTCGCATTAACAAAAAAACTAAATCATTTTCGGAGTGGAGGAGAATTTTTTCACTCTTGCTCTGGGCGAATCTGTATAAGGTAATTTAGCACGTTCTGCTGCGGGTATTTGTTTGATCTTTCTCATATACTCTTGAATTATTATAAATTTATCCAGTAATCCTTCATCGACCTAAAAGCAATAAAGGACAATCAAAAAGTTATTAGCATTTAAGTAGTGAAATGAAAACCGCCAGCTTCGAAAATCCTAACCGACAATCAAACCCTAAATGACAATTATTTATGAAACTCCAACACACAAAATTTAAAAATAAACATTACAAGTCACAGCTACGACAGACTAAAAAGCCAAAAAAATCTAAATCAATTACCACGTTTAAAGCGTTCAGAAGATTTTCGTCATCCTTAGTAAGGATTCCACCAGAAATATAAAGCGGTTTAGGAGATGATGGAGGAGTATAAAACACCTCAAGTAGCAGATCCTCTTCGGAGCCTCTTTCAGGCCCACCTATTTCTTTTTCTGGAGAACTGCGTTTTAAAAAGCTTCTTTTCAGACCAGTTATAGAGCTGGCAATCTCAACACCTACTCCTTGCTCTTCAAGAAAGCCGTCCTCATTGTCATCGTTATCACTCAGTTGCAATCTTCCAATCCTGAACAGAAGTTTTATCTAACAAATTTATGAAAAAAAATGTAGATCACTCGTTGTTTGTTAACTATTCGAAAATAAAAGAACAGACAAGTTAGCAAAAGATCGCAAAACTTATTAAGCATAGCTTCGCTAAAGCATTCAAAATGCTTAGGAGTTCCTTCGATGCTTAACCGAGATTTGCGAGGAAATTATAAATAGAAAGGGAATGAGTTGATTAGGGGTAAAACCGTTAGTAATTAAAGTAATCTAAAAATGATTGCATTTCACTTAATCATCTATCTCAGGCACTTTTCAATTCGTCACTATACCTATCGATGAGAAGTCAGAAAGTGAAGTACCCTTCTTCTTGTAGTTAATATTCAAAGCTTATTTGATAAGTGTAATGTATTTCGCTCATGGAGCAAACACTATTGCTACAAGAAAGAAAACACAACAAGTTGTAAAATGGCAACATGTAACAAACGGTTCGGTATGACGATGCAGATGCTTAATAAGAAAGTCTCCATCTCTGCTATTACCAGGCCTATATAATAAAGTGATAAAAATTGCTTCACGCTTTAAAAAGTTAATGAAGCATTTTAAAAGCTGCTTACCTTTCAGGAAGTGACCCAACAGAGACATCTGGGTCATGATCGGCATTATTAAGACTGTTTTCAATAGCATTCTCATTTCCGGGCGAGTTCTCGTAACCATAAGCATCATAAAAAACTTCACTGTCAGAAGGTTCTTCTTCTTCATCATCGAAAGTGAGGCGTTTCCTAACTGTTTCAATATCTTCGAGATCAGCTTCCTCTTGAAGAATCTGTTTTTTTCTTAGTTTCACGAGGTAATTACGAATTACTTCAAGACCTAAAGTATTAAAATGAATTTTTTTGTTCTTGACAGTCCCTTCCTTCCTTTTTCACTTCAAATTAAAAAAGCCCCTTGATTGCCGTTCGGTTACCACATAATTGTCATGACGTATGATTTTGCGCTACATTTTTGTAACACAAATTAACTGGTATGCTAAAAGCAAATCTAAAAGAGCTACTACAAACAGACTAGAAGTAACAACACACAGCAAGAAAAAAATTAATTGAAAGATGTAAAAAACCAAACAAAAAGCATTAAATATAGTAGAAAATACCAGCAAGACAATTTAAATCCAATAACTGCTCAGAAAACGGCCACTTTTCCAACCACTTCACTTTTCGTGTTTTAGCCAAATTCCTTCCAACTTCCTCCGCACCTTTCACAGGGTCACGCAAGCGCTTATCACGCTCTTTAGTGAGCCATTCTTTATAAAATTCCTGAGCATCCTCCTTTGTATCAAAGGGTCCTGAAAAAGATGAGGAGCTCGGAGCAAACACATAACATTTAAAGTAAAACAAAATCAGTTCCGTGGAAACAACCAAATTACTCATATTGCTGATCCTTCATAAATACATCAAAACGGCAAGGTAATGGTTAAACAGATGTATAAATCAAAATTAAGGTAAGAAACAATTATAAGAAATCTCTCAAAATTTATACTCTGCCAGTCCCTCTACCTGAATTTATCTGTCAACACATGAATAACAAACTGTCTATTTTAGTAACCTACAATCCTTTCCCTACACTAATCACTTGTCAGAATAAAAACAAAAAACCAGCCAAGAAATAAATAGCCATCCAAAAAAAAAAATTAATTACCAGCCACTGCTGATATGACAAAATCAGTAAAAAAAAGTTCTTTCTTCTGTCCTGTATATGTTCTAGACGGATATCCTCCTGAAGATAACTCTCAGTAATACTGCAGCATTTGTGTCAGTTTTAAAATGAAATGAATGAAGTTTCACCAAAAAGTGATTATCCAAGGAAAAAGCGATAACTTACCTGGAGAACAAATAATTGCTGATGTACTGTTATCTTGTGGCCTATACAGGGGAACATAAAGAGAAGAAAATAACCTTAAAATTCCAGCTCGAACTTGCGTTTTGTTTTCACCATTATATCTGGAGGCGCAAACATCTGCAGCAGTTTTCCCATCACTACAAAATTTTTCGATCGGAATGGAACAAAAGTAAGGTGAAATAGAACACAGAACCCGCAAACTTACTTATTAAGACGATCTTTTTCAGTTTCTTCATACATAAGCAATGTTTTAACAATTTCTCGATGGCCGAACTTTGAAGCAAAATGTAAGGGCAAATCACCAGCTCCTTTATCTGGAGTGTTTAGGTAGGAGTCCAGCAGAGCTTTCGAACGATCTTTAACATCTTCGATGGAAGTCCCTGAGACATTAAAATATTACAATAAAGTAGGAAAAGCAGTAAAAAAAAAAGTATAAAGACTGATGTACCGTAAACATCCAGAAGACAATCAAGATCAGAGATGAAGTTCAAGATATATTTTGCAACAAAAAGATTGCCCGACTTTGCTGCAATATGTAGCGCATTATATCGAAACCCTTGGAAAACAACTGTCGGTTTGTCACTCCCTGTATTTACTAGACAACGAGGATTCTCCTTGACAAAGCTTTCAAAGGCCTGGTCGTCCTAGAATTCATTAAAGACAATTAAGGATCAGCTCAAAAAAAGGTTAGAGTAAAAACAACTATTTTTTGAACTTAACGACAAAAACCACAGTGTAAAAATAAGTAACTTAAAAATTTAACAGACACCTGAGTTTCAATAGCTCTCCTCAATCTGTTTAGCACTATTGGAGTTACTGATGGGTAAGTGGTTATAGATTCGGAAAATGAGGTGTTGAAAATGCGAGAACTCGTAAACGAGGATGAAGACTCATATGAAAAAAATGACTCTGAAACACTGTCATCACCATGTTCGACATAAGCCTGAGCTGCCTCTGGAGTGGCGAAACGCTTAAAACGTCCACCGCCTACAAAAATAATAAAGCATTTTTCTATGTACATTGAATATTAACCGTACGAATATAACTGCTACATCTTAAAACAGACACATACTCACCTCGAGCCTTGGCCTCTGGGGTGTTAGCGTATTCTGCCGCCGCCTTAACTGAATTGAAAATTCTCCCAGTAGGATGTCCATTCCCGTTAGGAGAAGGAATATATACGGCAATATATTCGCCCATCTTGTTTAACAGACTAAACGGCATCTACGTCATACAACTTTGACCCATCACCTAATATACCCTGACTATGCTTTGTAACTACGCAGTTAAAGGAGTAAGAACAAGCATTATAACGTCCTCGTTTTAGAAATAAAAAAATTTAGTCCGGAAACTTTCAAAA